TGGAGGGCTTCCGGAGCCTGAAAGAGGGGGAAGCAGTGGAGTTCACCTTCAAGAAGTCTGCCAAGGGCCTGGAATCCATCCGCGTCACTGGGCCCGGGGGAGTGTTCTGCATTGGGAGTGAGAGGCGGCCAAAGGGGAAGAACCTGCAGAAGCGCAGATCTAAAGGAGACAGGTGAGGACAGGCCAGTAGCCTGCGAGGGTGCTGGGAGATCATCCACTGGTTTCCTAGGCAGGGAGCTGGATTGGAAGTGGAATAGCCAGGACTCAAAAACTGGCGCTTCCTATAAGAGATGTGAGCATTCAAACTAGCATCTTACATTGCTGTGCCAATTTGCTTGGTTTCTTGCTACTTCACTGGCTATCCACATGACTGGTGTATTGAAGTTAGGGGCCTTCAAAAAGTAGAGGCTGCAGATAGCTTCACAGAGAGCAGCCAATCACTCCTCCTTTTGTAAAGAGGATCATTGTCGGAGAGAAGGGCAGTGACTAGCATGATGAATGAAGACTTGAGACCGAGAAGGCCTCATTCATTGTCTAACCACTTTTCTCAACTTGCTCTATACTAGGTGCTACAACTGTGGAGGCCTAGACCATCATGCCAAGGAATGCAAGCTGCCACCCCAGCCCAAGAAATGCCACTTCTGCCAGAGCATCAGCCATATGGTAGCCTCGTGTCCCCTGAAGGCCCAGCAGGCCCCCGGCTCCCAGGGAAAGCCAGCCTACTTCCGGGAGGATGAGGAAGAGATGCACAGCCCTGCCCTGCTCCCTGAGGCCCAGAATTGAGCCGCAGTGGGTGGGGGCTGTCCTGCTAGCAGGAAGTCTCAAGGAGCAGGCATCAACTGCAGAGTGGAGAAAGTGGGAATCCGGGTGGGTTGGGGGTAGCTGACACTGCCATGAATCTCAGGCTGGGGTTCCCAGCATCACCCCTTTTTCCCTCTTGGAGGGAGGAAGGAGTGAGGCAAAGGAATTCCAACTATGCTGTATCCAAATGCAAGTAAGGGGCTTTGGGGAGGGATATCACCCTATAACTTGCTTGTTTTATCTGGAGCTCCTCCTCCAAAATCTCCAGCTTCAGGAAGCAGCCTAGATGGGGAAGTTATTTTCCTCTCAAGGAAGGATGAGGAAGAATACTTTCCAGGGTGCAAAGATTGGCTGTGGGATCAGATGAAGGGGCCTCTCGGGGGTAAGGCAGAGTTTTTCCGTATCTTGTTCATTCATAATCCAAGTAGTGGGTTGTGATGACCTGCCTCCCCCCCTCCAAAAACAAAACAACAAAAAAGCAGGGGTGTGTTGATGAGGGGAACAGCCACAGACCCTCACCCTGTGCTGGGCTAATGTGATGTATTTATTTGCTCCCCTGGGGTAACTATAGCTTGGGTCCCACTTCTCCACGATGCCAACTGCACTAACTGTGCGAACGACGTATCTTGTGCATTTTAACTTTTTTTTTCTTAATATAAATATTCTGGTTTTGTATTTTTGTATATTTTAATCTAAGGCCCTCCTTCCTGCACTGTGTTCTCAGGTACATGAGCAATCTCAGGGATAAGTGGGCAGCAGCTCGGGGTCTGCACAGCAGGAAGAGTTTTTGTTTTTTTTTATCATCACAGAGAGCAACTATTGGAGTGCACAGCCTGTTGAACTACCTCATTTTGCCAATTAGAGCTGGCTTGTTTGCCATAGTGTCCTCTTGAGCCCCTCCACCTTGAAAATGCTTCCTGGGATGTTAATTGGGTTGCCCCAGGGGCTTGATCTCCTCCTTCTGGAAGATTGGAAATTAGTCTAAACAGGAAAAGGTGGTGCAGAGACAGAGGCCGAGCCAGGTAGAAAGCCCACTGCGGAAGCCATGGTTGGGCATCCCAGACTAGCACCGCAGGTCTTGGCTTTATATACCAAATCCATCCTTGAGCAGATTAGGCCAGGCACACAAGAGTGTGTGCACATGTGTCCATGCATGTGTGTAACAAAAAGAATGAGTTGGTAAGGATGAATTTGAAAACCAAAAACCCTGTTCTCATTCTATGCTGTCCTGCCAGGACTGAAAACCCTTAACCTTCCCAAATTCTTGGCTTCCAGGGAGACCCAAAAGGGAGGGCCTCTGTGGCAACTGGAGCCAGTGTCCTGCCCTACGTCAGTAGTGATAACTATTGGTAACTAAAGGAGAAAAGGGGGGTTTCGTTTACATGCTGAGAGATCACCACAAGCCTACCTCACTGTTGAAACGGGACAAATGCAATAGGGTGCATTGGATTGTGTGTGTCTGATCCCGGGTTCCTGTGTTCCCCCACATGCTGCCCCCCTTTAGTTATTTGGGCTTGGTAGGACTTCAGTGAGTCTCTGAGTTGGTGATTGCTAGGTGGCCTAGTTTGTGTAAATATAATGTGTTGGTCTTTCTCCATGTTCTTTTGGGGTTGTATTGTTTACAAACTTCTTTTTGTATTGAGAGAAAAGTAGCCAAAGCGGCTTTGACAGAAGGTTCTGCACCAAGCCAGAGGATCTGCAACACAAGGGGATCTCGAACCATCTTTGCTTTTGTGTTTCCCCCACCTCTATCCTATTTTGGATTTTCTATCCTTAAAATTTGATGCCTTCTCTTCCCTCTTCTCCATTCTTCCACCCACAAAAGGAAACCCTACACATTTAACGCATAAATTCTTGGGTGTATCTCCACACCCCTAAAAGGATTCATGCCAAAATCCTAAAGAAATTCCCTCGATCCCAACCACCTGAGTCAAGGCCGTTTCCTCGTGTGTGATTCACATGCCAAAAATGTAAGACACTGATTGATGTCTTTGGGTGAATCAAGCCTACTTCATTTGTATCCTAAAGAAGAGAAGCTACTGGGGACCTTCTGTGCAGAAAGTGGGGTTTGGAGACCAGGAAGGGAACTATGAATGAATGTATTTCCAACTCACTCAGGAACTTGTATGCAGGTGCAAGAAACTTATGTCAAAGTGGCCACAAGATTATTTGATAGGAGACGGACGAATGTAACTCCATGTTTACTGCTAGAAACCAAAGCTTTGTGTGAAATCTTGAATTTATGGGGAGGGAGGGTAAGAAAGCTTGTTCCTTTTAAGATCTCCTCATTACTAACTTGCAGGAGACTAAGCCTCCTGGGCTTGGGGGACCCCATCCCTGGGGTTTGTGTATTTGAAGGTTGATTTTTTTTTTTCCTGTACTGGATGATTTTTGCTGTACTTTCAATTTTTCTAATCACCTTGTAACACATATACTGACTTCCCCACCCCTTCTCCTTTCCCTGGGAAAATAACATTGAATAAATCAAGACTTATTGGTACCTAAACTGTCATCTCCTTGTCAATTATTTAGGGCGCTTCGCCCTCGCGATTCCCACCTTCTGGGATTGGGACTCAGAAGTCAGAGAGGAACCATTAGGTTTTTCTGTTCAGCCACTTTGTTAAGGAATCTTGGAAGTTCAGTCCTCTTAGTAGCTCATTATGGTGGATTTTGGTTTCTCCTGAAGGCTCTTGTCCTTTGCTTGGAAGCTGCCACATTCAAGAGGGGATTAGGGGCTTGGCATGCATAAGAATGGGGTTGCCTGTGCCACTGGCTGGGATGAAAGGATGGGGCCATGGCTTGGGGCATGAGACCCTAATAATAGTCCCCTACTCCTCAAAGCCTTTTACAAATCTTAATTAATTAACCCCTGCAGCACCCCCAAGGAATGGGAATGTGGTGCTGGGGAAGTTGAGGCCAGAGCAGATTCACTGGCTTCAGACAACATTCTCTTTTGAGGCAAAGTTTCGCTAGCCCTTCTAATGAATGCTGAGTTTTTAAACATTCATCTCCCCCTAGGGGAAGCAGGATTTAAAACGGATAACACTTAATTGGAGGCAAACCAAGTATTAACACAAAGTGCAAGGACACAAGGAAACTGGATTAAATTATCCAACCCTGGCAACACGACCAGGACAAGGGTAGGTAGGTGCATCCATCAACTCCAGGGAAGAAGTGAGAAACTATCTCTGGGCTTCAAGAAACAGACCTGGGAAATTTCATGTCCTGGGCTGAAACTCCCCAGCTGCACAGCCACAAGGATGGGAAAGGTTAGGACTAACCGGGTAGGTTACACTTCTAGAGCTTTCTCCAATTAAGGTACTAGAGGAAAAGGACGCCTGGAATGCTTAGAGCAAATACGGGATCACCAAGTTGCTTTATGTTTAACACTAGTCATCAGGTTCTTTTAAAATGCTTTTGTTTCCTGTTGAACTACCAATTCTGTGACTCAGTTCCCCTAAGTTAAAAAAATGAGGTGGGTCAGACCTTTTGTTGTCTTAACGATCTACCTTGTGCATAACTTCCTAGCCGAATTTGGGCAGGTTTCAAGAATCTAAACCGTAAAGTCGGGGTGCCCGTAAGTCGTACAAACTGGATGGCAATTCACTGCTCTGGTAGGATTAAGTGGGGGCTACAAAGTGCTTCCCAAACTAAATCACGGAAAATACGGTTTTAAGGTTTGTACCAGGGCTTCTATTGAGGGCTTCCCCGGTAGTGCCAGGCTGGCAGGACGCATCCTTACACATTTCTCTTCAGAAGGCCGTTAGGAACCTGGAAGCACCCTCACGTCCGAGGCTGCATGTCCTTAATGTACCAGGGTCCCTGTTACCCTGGCCGAGCTCCACCCCGCCTTCCACAGCACGTGGCCCCGCTTTGCCACGCCCCCTCCGCGCACAGAGCTCACGTCGCTCCTCCCACTATCTGCAGAAGCTGGGCTGCGCCCCGCCCATTGGATGGGCCGGAGAAGGGGCGTGGCCTAGCGCGCTGCGATGACGTGTTCCGTGAGCGCCACGTCGTGAGGAAGTATCTGCTCACTGGAGCTGTTGGAGGACGCCAAGCCCGGCGGATCAGGTGGTGAGGGATTGAAGGGGTGAACTAGAGGAGAGAGAGGTGACCGGGCAGGGCGGCAAAGGCTAGAAGGCTCCCGGGGTGACTGAGGAATAGAAAGTGACGAGATCGCTGAAGTGTGAGGTTAGCGGGTGAATGGGATCGCAGAGTGGGACATGAACTTGGGGAAGATGGAGGAGGACGCGGGGGACAGTCGAGACGGAGGCAGGAAGCCGATGGACCAATGAATGCAAATATTTAGAGAAAGGCAATGGGAGCGAGGTTCAGGAAACTGGGCGACCCGAAAGGGAGTCTGAGGGTCTACGTAACAGCTTGTCCGGCTCGTGGCTTCCCTGCAGTACGGCAAGCCATGGTGACCGCTGCATCTATCTCCCTTCTGGTTTATCCCAGATTACCTGACGCGTGTCTTGTGTTCCTGAGCTGATCTTTCTGATCCGGCAGGAACGATGTCGTGGATCAAGGAAGGAGAGCTGTCGCTTTGGGAGCGGTTCTGTGCCAATATCCTAAAGGTGAGCCATAGCCCTGATCACTCGGGTAGCACCTGTGACGTGGAATTCAGCAAAGGATTCAGAGTGCCTCAGCACTGCGGGGTGACTTCGTATGACTGTTTTGACCGGCTGTTGTCCTGGTGACATCTTGAGGTAGCCCAGGGCTTTCCAAGAGCATTGGTCAGCATTCACCATTAGGTGTATCTGTACAGAATTGAAGCTTGTTTCTTTGGACTTTGATCCATTGTTCCTACTACTTACTGTTCTCTGAAAAATTTTTTCTAAAACATTTATTTTTAGTGTTTTAACATAATATTTGAGAGAGAGAGCACACTTCCATCTGCTTCACTCCCCTAGTGCCTGCAATGGCCAGGACTGGACTGCTAAAGCCAAGAGTCAGAAACCCAGTTCAGATGTCCCATGTAGCAGAAGCCAGTTAGTTGAGCCATTTCTGTTGCCTGTGAAGTCTGTTAGCAAGAAGTGAGACTTAGGAGCCCACGCTAGGGGATGGAACCCAGAGTCCCTAGCCTGGGACTCAGGTTCCCTATCTGCTCTGCATTTAAGTGGAGTGCTAACCTCTGATGTGACAGTACAGCAGAACATGGAAGAGAGTGGATCCTACAGGCAGACAGACCTGAGAAAAGTCCTAATGTCTCATTTATGAATCATGTGACTTTTACAGCCCTACAGCTGTTGGGATTGAATGGAAACATTGCATATAAACACAGTGTATGACACTTGTTAATTATCCTTCAGCCATTTGGAGACTGACCACCCTGTTCCTTAGACCTTCCTTGATTTTCCTCAGCCTCCTCCTAGTGATGTGGCGTCCCCTGCCTGCCGCTGGAACCCAGGCAGCTTGCTTGTGTTTTTAGCTACAGACAATCAAGTAAAAAATAGTGGTGAATTTATTATTTAAAACTCAGCAGCTTCCCAACTTATATACATCCATGACTACACACACACACAGAGCCAGAAAATACAATTTGTTCACGGAACTACAGCTCTCTGTCGTTGGGAAGCTTGTATGGGGACAGCAGCAGCAGGTGTTGGAGAGCAGCTGGGAAGCAGCCAGGGAGGGAGGGTAGGCTGAGGAGTCCACTTTTACTCACTGCTCTGAGCTGGGGGAGTTTTGCTTGCTCTGATACGGTTCCTGATAATTGGGTTTTCATGAAAATCCTGGTGGTCTGAAGATCTGAGGCATATTGAGCCCTGATCCTTGGATGACAGCAGTCATCAGATCTGGGGAACAGGGGCACCTTTTGTGTGGAAGATGCCCATACTGCCTGACAAAACCTAGCGGCACCTTCCTTTGCCTTCTGGTTAAGGTTGAAGGAAACCACTATGGTGGTAAGGGCCATATTACTTTTTTCTTTCTTTCTTTCTTTCTTTTTTGAAAGGCACAGTTACAGAGAGGGAAGAAGAAAGAGAATGAATGAGACCTTCCATCCTCCAGTTTACTCCTCAACTGGCTGGGGCTGGTTCAGGCCAGATGGTGGCAAGCGTCCAGCCATCCTGTCCTTTTCCGGGTGAATTAGCAGAGAGCTAGCTTGGAATGCAATAACTAGAACTCAAACTCATGGGATGCCACCATCTTTCCTTCTCTCTGCAACTCTGCCTTTCAAACGGGAATAAATCTTTAAAAATAAGAAATATGCAATTCCCTTCTTTAAGATTTTCCTTCCTTTTAAAAAGTTTTTTATTTAACTTGAAAGAGTTATAGAGAGAAAGAGATAGAGAAATAGAGATTCCATCCTCTGATTCACTTCACAGATGGCCCCAGTGGTCAGAGCTCAGCTGATCCAAAACCAGGAGCCAGAAATTCTGGGTCTCCTAAGTGGGTGCAGGGTCCAAAGGCTTGAACCACTTTTCCACTGCTTTCCCAGGCCATCAGCAGGGAGCTGGATCCAGAAGTGCAGCAGCAAGGACTAGAACCAGCACTCGTATGGAATGCTGGTGTTATAGGCAGAGGATTAGCTTGATACACCACTGTACTGGCCCCAAAGAATTTTATCATATAGTCCAAACCTGTCAGTTTGGGGACAGTGTGCCCCCTATCACCAAAGATATGAGATCTGTTTTTTTCATTTTCTTATTCCACAGGCAGGCCCAATGCCCAAACACATTGCATTCATAATGGATGGGAACCGCCGATATGCCAAGAAATGCCAGGTGGAGCGACAGGAGGGCCACTCACAAGGCTTCAACAAACTGGCTGAGGTAGGTTGGGTGGCAGAGCCCAGGCGAGCAATCTGCACAACATTGTGTGACAGCTGGCACAGTGAGCCCTGAGTTTGCTGTGATCTGAAAATGTTCTGTGTTTTATTACTTGCTTGCTAGTTATATATCTAAGAATAGCTTTAGCAAAAAATTAGCCATCATTCAGTGAAATTTTGAAGGTAACAAAATATTAGAGATAACATAATTACTTCTTTTTATCATTTTAGCAGTTTATAGTCTAAGTTGCATTCAATTCTTATAATATGTTCTGTTTTAGCATGTATAAAATTACATTCATGTATTCAAATAACCTTAGGTTGACTTGTCATTTTATTTCTCTATTGAGATATGGCCTTTCTAGCTGTGTTCTTGTCACTGCTGAACGCGTAATCACGGGGAACTGCGCTGATCTGTTTCACTGCCCATCCTGCTTTCCCAAGGCTGAGGAATCTCTGACGGCATAGACCTTTCAGTTATACAGTAACTTGGGATGTTACTCTATAAGAAAGTCATAAGCATTTTTGGGTTTTAGTCAGAATACATTAAATTGCAGTGGTAGATGGCAATCTTTATGAAACTAAGAGGATCAGGAATACACTCTGTAGTGCCCACAGGTATGTTCTGACCAGAATTTTCCTAAGGTTATTTGCGTGCATGTCTGTTAAGGATTAAGATATTTATTTGAAATGCAGAGTGTCAGAGGGAGAGGAAGCGAGAAAGAAGGACAAACTTATCTTCTGTTTGCTGCCTCACTCCCCAAGCGTTTCAGCATGGGACTGGACCAGGGTGAAGCCCTGAACCGTGACCTCCGTCTGGTCAGCGTGTGGGTGGCAGGGGCCTAAGCACTTGAGCCATTATCCACCACCTTCCCAGGCACTTCAGTAAGAAATAGATCAGAAGCGAAGAGCCTGGGCCTGGCATAGTAGCCTAGTGGCTAAAGTTCTCGCCTTGCATGTGCCTAGATCTTATGTGGATGCCATTTCATGTCACAGCAGCCTTATTTCCCATCTAGCTCCTTGCTTGTGGCCTGGGACTCTGCACCCGCATGGGAGACCCAGAAGAAGCTTCAGACTCCTGGCTTCTGATCAGCTCAACTCTGACTGTTGCAACTGTTTGGGGAGTGAATCAGCAAATGGAAGATCTTTCTCTCTGTCTCTCCTCTCTGTATATCTGACTTTCTAATACAAATAAATAAATCTTTAAAAAAAAAAAAAAAGGAAATATCCACATGGCTATTGGCAGAGAGTTCCCCACCTCTCATCACCCGTACATGTGAAGAATCTTGACCCCTATCAATGTAGAACCATTTCTTGAGAAAGTTCCTTTGAATCCCTTTTCCAGTTACTGTTACCACTTACCACTTCTTTCTTTTTTTAGACAACTGCTGTTTTAGTTTCTGTAAAAATAGATTAATTTTGTCTGCTATAGAATGTTATATAGTGAAATTTTGTAGTAGTTTTGTAGATTTTTGGTGTTTCCTCAACTCTCTGAATCTATTTTATTTTTTATGCATTAGGCACAAAAATAATGACATTTTGGAGTGGTTATTTTAAGGTTCAAATAAATAATGTGTATGAAAACCTTTTTTTTAAAAAAGATTTATTTTATTTTTATTGGAAAGGCGGATATACAGAGAGGAGAGACAGAGAGGAAGATCTTCCGTCCGATGATTCACTCCCCAAGTGAGCGCAACGGCCGATGCTATGCCGATCCGAAGCCAGGAGCCTCTTCTGGGTCTCCCACGCGGGTGCAGGGTCCCAAAGCTTTGGGCCGACCTCGACTGCTTTCCCAGGCCACAAGCAGGGAGCTGGATGGGAAGCGGGGCTGCCGGGATAGAACCGGCGCCCATGAAAACCTTTTACAGATTGATGAATGCTATACAGTTGCCCTACTGTTGCTTTTATTCTCTTAACACATCCGCCTCTGAGTCTGTCAGAATCAGGATGGTTCCATGTGTTTTTCTGTTGTTCATTAGCCCCTTGAGAAAGCCACTGTGATCCTGCTTCAAAGTCAAGGAGCCAAGAGCCTAGAGAGATTTAGTGATTTGCCTCTGGCCACATAGGATGAAGTCAGAGACTAGGATGTGGCTCTTTGTGAAGTGTTCTTCCCAGTCAATAAAATCAGCTTCAGCATAATGGTAGGATCACATTTCTCAGTTTCTTACATGGTATGTTTCTACTTATCTGGTCCATTATCCTGACATAAGCACTGAAGTTACCCTGGCTTACCCAGGTTGGATTGGAGAGGAGCAGACTGTCAGACGTCTATGAGTCAGGGCCGAAGCAATGCTGAATTATCCTCCCCCTCCTGCTTGTATCCTAGCTCCTTGCCTTCTCCCCTCGTAGACTCTGCGCTGGTGTTTGAACCTGGGCATCCTAGAGGTGACGGTCTACGCATTCAGCATTGAGAACTTCAAACGCTCCAAGAGTGAGGTAGACGGGCTCATGGATCTGGCCCGGCAGAAGTTCAGCCGCTTGATGGAAGAACAGTAAGATGCTATCAGAGGAGAGACTGTGTCTTCACACCACCTCCAGCCTTCTCACTCATCCCACACCTGTTCTTATTACTACATGCCTCATCCTCCCAACACTGATGTCTGAGGCTTACTTAAGGGTCTCTAAATTTTCAGTATTAGATCTCTTATCTGGCTGATACCACAAATGCAAGCTAATTTGTCTTTCTCTTTCTTTCAAAGGGGGGGTTCTTTTTTTGACGACACTGAAATTTTCTACAAAATTCAAAGCATGTACAGTCAGCCTCAAGTACAACTGGAACTAGGGATTGGAATTGGTTCGGTAGATCCTCTTAGATGCTTTCTCCTCGTCTGCAGCCAGCTTCCCCCGCCTTGAGAGAGCGGCCCCAAATGCACTCAGTCTTTTGGTTGGCTCGCTTCCCGTCACATTCCTGCCCAGAACCAGTGAGCATGGCCATGGGTCTAGGAGAGTGAAAGCAACGTGAGGATGTCATTTTGTTGGTGCATGTGATCCTCGGAGGTACTCTACACCTCTGCATTGTCTTCCCAAGGGAAAGGGTGATGGGTAGCGAGTCAGTGCCACTCTTAGCTGTGGCTGAGTTTGGGCTTGACTTAAGGCAGAAAACCAGAAAGAATCAAAGAAGTTCAGTAGAAATTATTTGCTTCACCTTCCAGCACTGCCCATAAGTCTTGATTACAGCTCTTGTTTGCCTAGCTCCTGCCTGTGCCAGGACTATGAAGAGAGGATTCTAGAGCTGTATTGGTGATGGACCCAGCCCAACTTGCTGGGCAGCTGGTTCTGTCATTTCTGGCTGTGTGTGGGATGGAATAGTGGAGTTAGTCAGATTCTCCATATTGGGATCGTTGAGATGGGAGACTGTGGACCAAAGACATCTCCCTGGTTCCCCTGTTGGACAAGGAGTTTACAGCTAAGGGGCTGGAGATGGAGGCTTGAGAAACATATCCCAAGTTCCCAAGTATTCTCAACTCTTTAGAACTGTAACTACTCCTACTTCTTCTTTTTTTTTTTTTCCTAAGATTTATTGTTTATCTTAGAAAGATTGCAGAAAATCAGGGAGAGAGAAAAGAATAATATTCCATCCAGATGGCCGCAACAGCTGGGGCAGGGCCTGGCTGGGGCAGGGCCTGGCTGAATCCAGAAATCAGAAGCTTCATCCAGGTCTCCCACATGGCTGGCAGGAGTCCAAACACTTGGAACATTTTCCATTATGTTTCCCAAGCCATTTGCAGAGAGCTGCATCGGAAGCAACAACTTGAACTGGTGCCCATGTGGGCTGCTGGTGTCACAAGTAGCAGCCACATGCTTTACATGCTTTGCCACAACACCAGCCCATAATCTTCCCTTTTTAAAGTGTACGCTTGTTTAAGAGTCACATTATCCCATGAGGAGGATAGTATTAGCTCAGTTTTCAAAAGAGGGGAAGTGAAGTGCCGCAAAGGTGAGTCACACATGCTGAGGCAGGTGTGCACCTGCTCCTGCTCCAGGGATGAGTTGTTGTTTATTGTCCTGCACTCTGAGACAGTCAAAATGTGTGGCATCAGAGCTGTGACGGGTCACGCTATTAGGTTAGTAGTGAAAAGAACAGTTGTAGTTCATCATGATGTTCTTCAAATTTTGCTTTAATTCGACCATATGGTGCCTACACTCTCTCTGCTGGTGATTCAGTCTTGTGTCATGACCCTGGAAGGTGTGTGGCTGAAATTCATAGAGGATAGTGGATGTGGATGTGGCCTTTGGGTCTGGGCCAAGGTGCTCCAGAAGGTCCCTGACATCCCCATTCCACGGTAGGCTTCCTGTGGCAAAACCCCCGTCTTCCCTGTGCAAAGTTTTCCGTTTCACCCTAGTGTTCCTAAGGGAAAGAAGTTGGTTGGAGAGCAGTTTAGTGCTTTACATTCTCACTGTCAGCTTGGGGTCCAGTTGAAAAGCAGTGTAATGTCGAGATTGAAGGAAGGGCAGGCTCTGGAGCCACCCTCTCTGGGCTCAAGTCCTTATTTTCCATTCGCCAGCTGACTGAAAAATTATCTTAACTTCCCTCCCTCTGCCTATTTCCTCGTAGTCACGGCCATTACCACGAAGGTCGATGTGAGGATACATGGTGTGGGTGCAGGGAAAGCACTGAGACCCAGGCCAGTGCTTAGGAAGCATTCCTGTGGGCTGTCACTAGGATCACGTTTCACCAGAACATGACACAGCCGCCCACAGATCCCTACGGGGAGTTTACTCATTTCTCAAAATGAAGCAAGCATCACAGAGAAAGCACCCTGCCGGTAGGCCCCATGAGGCAGTGTAAAGTGTGGTTGAGAGTTCAGATTCTTGGATCGAATGTAGGTTTCAATCCTGAGCCAGCACTTGGTGACCATGTGACCTCACCTGGTGCCTAACTGTTCTGTCCGAAACTTGGTGCCACAGTAAACTCTGTTCAGAATAGCTGAGGGGACACAGTGAAAGAACCCACATGGAGGTGTCTGACACCCAGATAGGCACACCCACTCTGGTGGTTGATCATGGCTGGGTCAGTGCCTCTGCAGCCCAGCAGGTGCTCTTCCCCAACACTGCCTTCTTTTCTGCATCAGAGAGAAGCTGGAAAAGCACGGAGTGTGTATCCGGGTTCTGGGGGACCTGCATCTACTGCCCTTGGATCTCCAGAAGCTCATCGCACAAGCCATACAGGCCACGAAGAACTACAATAAGTAAGCCCTAAGGGACCCTTGTCAGTTTTTAACCTCGTGGGCTTTGGGGTGACATCCTTCCTTGGTCGTCCCTGGTCTGTGTAGTGCGGGGCAGTGAGGGAGTCCTTCGGGGTACTTGTACCCCCTCGCACTTGCGCGTGCAGGGACCTTCTGCAGTACCACGTCTGGGGTGTGTACACTTACCAGGTACTTAGTTTCCCATCCCCTCCCTCCTCTATGCACCTATCCCTGCTTTCACATATGTGCTCATTCTGTGTATATTTTTAACTTGACAAGACATGGGATGGGAATGCAGCAGCGCTCAGCAAAGAGATCCTTCAAGAAATTATTATTATTGTTATTATTATTATTTAAGATTTTACATTTGTGGGGCCGGTGCACTGGCCCAGCTGGTTCATCCTCTTTCTCCAAGCACCGACATCCCCATATGGGCGCCAGTTCGTGTCCTGGCTGTCCTGCTTCCCATCTAGCTCCTGTTTGTGGCCTGGGAAAGCAGATGAGGATGGCCCAAAGTCTTGGGACCCTGCACCTGTGTGGGAGACCTGCAAGAGGCTCCTGGCTCCTCGCTTTTGATCAACTTAGCTTCAGCTGTTGTGACCAATTGAGGAGTAAACCAGGAGATGGAAGATCTTTCCCTCTCCTCTCTGTAAACATGCCTTTCCAATGAAATTAAATAAATTTTTTGGCAGTTTCTAAAATTATTATTATTATTTTTAATAATCTTATTTCGTTGATTAGGGTACAAAGGATCAAGGGCTACAGGAAAGTGGGTAACACCATTGTTTCCACACTAATATCATTTTTTCCCTGTATCTGGGGTCAGAGGAGAAACAAAGGAAAAAACTCCACCCAGTTTGCTTCCCATCCCAGGTCCCCAATGTGAACCACGCCCCAAGGGTCCTGCTCAAGCAGCTTTGATAGTTCAACAGTTCTGAATCGCTGCCAGTCTCTCCGTTCTAATCGCGATGAAATCTATTCAGAATCCACTGGCTGACATAGTCGTTTCATGGTTGGGGTTCTGAGATCAGCAGTTCAGTTGGAGGGATCTCCAAAGAAACTTCATCTGAGGTGATCCCAGACCTGATTCTTGTGTGTGCTTGCCATGACAGAGTCCGGCACTGTCCATCACCCTAGTCAGTTTATGCACATACTGGTCATTGCAATTGCCGGGTCAGTTCTGTTTCCAGCCCTGTCTTTCACGTGAACCAATGTAGTCCAGCCTGATCTACCCATTTCGTACTCGGCCCTCACGCAAACCAGTGGGAGCTGTAACTTAGTTGGGGGAAACTAACTAAATTTTTTTAAATGATTTTATTAGAAACAGTAACAGAGAGAACAAGATCTTTCATTTGCTGATTTACTCCCCAGTTGGCTGCAATGGCCATGGCAGGACCAGTCCAAACCCAGGACCAGGAGTTTGATCCAGGTCTACTACATGGTGTAGGGGCCCAGGGACTTGGGCCATCCTCTGTTGCTTTCAGAAGTGGAGGGGCAGGACTGGCACCGAAAGCCCATATGGTATGCTGGCACTACAGATGATGGCCACACCACTGACCCCGAGAAATTATTTCTCTGTTTTATTCCTTTGACCTAGAATAGAATGTGAGGTCTTAGAGATGCAGAGGAGACTAGAGTTCAATAAGCTGCATCATTATGGCTTTGGAGTGGAATATGTGGCAGTGGATTTATTTCACACTAGATTCCTTTCCTGTTCTCCCTTTTGACGATGTTACAGTAGATTCAGATGCTCAGAAAACTGACTGGCAGTAGAAGGTGAGAGGGTGGAGGTGCTGAGGGCCACTGATTGTCTTAGAAAACTAATGCCATGTTTACTCCAAGGAAACATGGAAAACACTGAACCCTTGTACTCTTAACCTTTCAGGAGGCTACGTGGTTGACAGGTGCTATGAGCTTATTCTTTCAGAAGGAAGTGCTCTGTAAGCAGCGATTCTGGGTGCCAGTGCCCGACCCCATTGGTAAATTATTCTGCTTTTCTCTCCTCAGGTGTTTCCTCAACGTGTGCTTTGCATACACATCCCGTCACGAGATCAGTAATGCTGTGCGAGAGATGGCCTGGGGAGTGGAGCAGGGCCTGCTGGAGCCAAGGTACTCACAGTTATTTCACGTGGTAACTGGTAGGGAGAAGGGCACGGACAGACCCTGCAACCCACCTGGGCCTTGTCCCCAGTGGTCAGAATGGGTGTGTGTGGAAAGATGTAGGAAGATTCCCCATGTGCGGAGGTGAGGATTGACTAACCGCAGGCTCCTTCAGAATTTGAGTTTACCGCATGCCAGGTAACCCCAGAGAAACAGCAAGTCAGGCAGCAAGGCTCTGTCACTCGATAAAAAATGAAGCCCTTTGGACCGCTCGGCAGTGGTTTTTTTCTTTTTGATTGAAAAAAAAAAAAACAAAAAACTTGTTTTATGCTAGGAAGTCAGACATACTAGGAGAAACACATCTTCTGCTTGTTCACTCCTAAATGGCTCCAATGTTCAGAGCTGGGCCAGTCTGAAGCTAGGAGCCAAGAGTTCTTCTGGGTCTGCAAGTGAGTACAGGGGCCCAGGTCCATTCTCTACTGCTTTCTCAGGCCAGTAGCAGGGAGCTACATCGAAACTGGAGCACTTTCATAAGCAGTTTCTTCAGGAAGATGTTTTGCTGAGGTTGGGATGTTTCAGGACTCTTGTTACAATTCCAGCAACAGGGCCCGGCGCGATGGTGCAGTGGTTAAGGTCCTCGCCTTGCATGCCTGGGATCCCATATGGGCGCCGGTTCTAATCCCGGCATCCCCGCTTCCCATCCAGCTCCCTGCCTGTGGCCTGGGAAAGCAGTCGAGGATGGCCCAATGCTTTGGGACCCTGTACCCGCATGGGAGACCCGGAAGAGGCTCCTGGCTTCGGATTGGCTCAGCTCCAGCCGTTGCAGCTGCCTGGGGAGTGAATCATCAGACGGAAGATCTTCCTCTCTGTTTCTCCTTTCTGTATATCCGCCTTTCCAATAAAAATTTTTTAAAAATCTTTAAGAAAAAATTCCAGCAACATTACAGTTTCAAGGAAATTTGTCAATCCTTAGTAATGTAGTAGACTTCTAATCATTAAGGGTAGCATAGACTTTATTTTTTAATGTATTTAAAGATTTATTTATTTTCACTGGAAAGGCAGATTTACAGAGAGAAAGATCTTCCATCCATTGGTTTATTCCCCAAATGGCCACGACAGCCAGAGCTGAGCCAATCCAGAAGCAGGAACTTCTCCTGGGTCTCCCACATAGGTGCAGGGTCCCAAGGCTTTGGGCTGTCCTCTACTGCTTTCCCAGGCCACAAGCAGGGAGCTGAGTGGAAAATGGAACAACGAGGATATTAACTGGCAACACCCGTTTAGGATGCTGGTGCTTGATTGTGGAGGATTAGCCAATTAAGCCATTGTGCCACCCCATAGAAGGGACTTTAGAACCTAGTTACTCATTCTCAAGTTACTAGTTATGGAACATTCAGTAATAAAATTACCTAACTAATAATAGGGTATTTTTTTTAAAAAAAATTAAGTTTAGGAGTAAACTTGGCTTGGCAGCTAACATTGCTAGTTGATGTCTCTGCTTCCCATACTGGAAGGCTTGGGTTCAAGTCTTGGGTCTGCTGCAGGTGTGGCTTCCTGCTGACAGTTCCCTAGGAAGCAAAGGAAATAGCTCATTATAATTGGGTTCTGCCAATCATGCGGAGACCTGGATTACGGTCCTGGCTCCCAGCATCAGACCAGCCTGGTCTGTCCTCTTGCAGAGATTTGGGCACCGAGCAGTGGATAGAAGCACTGTACTCTCTCTGTCTCTCTGAAATGAAGATAAATCAGGGCCTAGTTAATCCTCCCCTTGTGAGCATGGGGATCCCATATGAGCTCCAGTTAGACAGCAAAGGTCGTAGCCAACGGTGAAGTAGTAATAGCAGCAGTAGAGCAGACATTGTGTCATGTTCTATGTTCCATGAAGTCATTAACCTCACATCAGAGATATACGGTCTTTGTCCATTTTATAGAGGAGCAATCTGAGCTCAAAATTGAAGTAACTTGACTAAGATTATTCTGCTATCAAATGCCAGAGTTGAGACTCAGAAGAGCTCTGTGGTCCCAGAGTTCTTGTCCTTAACGTATGTTATATGGAATCTTGGAATTTTGATTCCTTCCTAAGTATAATGCAGTTGACCTGAAAAGCTGATTAAAAATAAATGTCTCAGGCAGTAACTATAGGCTAATCCTTCTGCAAGTACCAGCATGCCATGAACACTGGTTCATGTCCTACCTGCTCCTCTTCTGATCCAGTTCTCTGTTTAAGGCCTGGGAAAGCGGTAGAGGATGGCTCAAGTCCTTGGGCCCCTGCATCCACGTGGGAGACTCAGAAGAAGCTCCTGGCTTTGGATCAGCTCTGCTCTGGCCTTGGTAGCCATTTGGGGAGTGAACCAGTAGATGGAAGATCTGTTTCTATTTCTCCTCCTTTTATTGCAAATGGAATAAGAAGAAAAACTTTTTTAATGTGTAGATTATTTATTTATTTGTTTGTTTATTCAGAAGACTGCCATAGCCAGGCATAGGCAAAGCCAAGGCTAGGGGCCAGACTCTTTGTCTGATTCAACCTCGTGGGCACTAGGGGCCCAGTTAAGATGGGTAATGTTGGGGCCAGTGTTGTGGCGCAGGAGATTCAGCTGCTACCTGGGACACCAGCATTTCACACGAGCACTGGAAAATGGCCCACATGCTTGGGCCCCTTCAGCCGTGCAGGAGACCCTACGGGAGTGGAGTTGTGGCTTCTTGGCTTCTGCCGGGCTCAGCCCAGCTGTTGTGCCCTTTGGGAAGTGATCCAGTGGACTGAAGATTCTCTGTCTGTTTCTCCCTTTTTCTCTGGAACTCTGCCTTTTAAGTAAAAATTTTTTGAAGATTTATTTTTTTTTTTAATTGGAAAGGCAGATACACAGATAGGAGGAGAGACAGAGAGGAAGATCCTCTGTCTGATGGTTCATTCCCCAAACGGCCCAAGCTGGGCTTATCGGAAACCAGGAGCCTGGAACCTCTTCCATTTCCCCCACGTTGGCACAGGGTCCCAAGGCTCTGGGCTGTCTTCAACCGCCTTCCCAGGCCACAAGCAGGGAGCCGCATGGGAAGAGGGGATCCTGGTGCATGCAAAGTGAGGATGTTAGCCACTGGGCCACCACGCCGGGCCCTCAAGTAAATTTTTTTAAATGATGTAGATTGTTGAAGAAGACACAGCATACTGGTTAGTAAGTGGGGGTAGAAGGCAAGCAGTAAGAGAATAGAAATACACAAGGGTAGGTCAATGAAAGTTATTGATAATGTTCTTTTTAGCTTCTTATGTTTATTATGTTATGGTCCTTTATAATTAATGTGTTTCAGTATTTATGTGAAATGAAATAGTATATTAACATAAAAGGGAACGTGTGTTCATGCTAGAAAGAAAGCTCTTGAGCACGCAGCCTTGATATGTGTTTAGGCCTAGGGCTGGATTTCTGAACCTGACCCTGACGCACGTGCACAGCCCTCACGCTGCGTGGCAGAGACCACTGTGACTCCTGCATCCTGTCCAGCAAGCTCTTCCGTATCCATCCTCTCTGTCCTGCTCGGTTTAGTAATGCGCCCCTGTGGGGTTAATCATGCCGACAGGAAGTGGGCTGGCAGGACTGCCTGGTTCAGAAGGCTCATGTCTCAATCCACCTGCTGCAGAAGCCTGGTGCTTAGAGTGAGCTGATCACAGCTCGAGGCAGTTTCTGTGCATTATTCAAATGTAGAAAGAACCACGTTTATAGTCAATGAGTTTATTACAATTAAGCTGTCCCCTTTTTTATTTAGATTTGTTTATTTTTATTGGAAAGTCAAATTTACAGAGAGAAGGAAAGAGAGAGAGATCTTCCTCCCACTGATTCACTTCCCAAGTGGCTGCAACAGGCAGAGCTAAGCTGAACCAAAGCCAGGAACTTCTTTTGGGTCTCCCACATGGGTTCAAGGTCCCACTGCTTTCCCAGGCCACAAGCAGGGAGCTGGAAGGAAAGTGGAACAGCTAGGACACGAACTAGCATCCATATGGTATCCCGGTGCTTTGCAAGGTGAGGATTTTAGCCACTAGGCTACTGCTCTGGCCCAAGCTGTCCTCTTCTGATAGCTAGAACGATCTTTCTTGCTTTCTTCTTCTTTTTTCCCCCTTTTTGGTATCATTTTCTTTCTTCCACTTGTATTTTTTTTTAAACATTTATTTATTTTTATTGCAAAGTCAGATACACAGAGAGGAGGAGAGACAGAGAGAAAGATCTTCTATCCAATGGTTCACTCCCCAAGTGACTGCAAAGGCTGGAGCTGAGCCAATGTGAAGCCAGGAGCTTCCTCTGGGTCTCCCACGCGGGTGCAAGGTCCCAAGGCTTTGGGCCGTCCTTGACTGTTTTCCCAGGCCACAAGCAGGGAGCTGGATAGGAAGTAGAGCTGCCGAGATTAGAACCAGTGCCCATATGGGATCTATGTGCGTTCACGGTGAGGACTTTAGCTACTAGGCCATTGCGCCAGGCCCCAATGATTCTATTCATTCATTTATATAAACATGTGTTTAGGCTCTGTGCCATTGAGGTCCTGTGCTGAAAGAGAAGGAAAAACAGATGAATATTCCTGAGGGATTGCCCTCAACAGCTTACAGTCTAATTCATACAGCCGTGACCCAAGGTGTGACTTCCACAGTCCTGGAGGAGGCACGTCCACCACTGCTCCTGACCAGAAATGGATCATGTATAGTTGGGAGCATGGCAGAGTCAGAGAGAGGGAGAGAGAGCATTCCTCTGCTGATTAGTCCCCAGATGCCTGCAACTGCCAGGACTGGGCCAAAGCTTATCCAGGAGCCAGGAATTCTGTCTTCTTTTCCCACGTGGGTATTGGGGACCCCGATGCTTGAATCATGATTTGCTGCCTCTCCTGTGGCTCTCTAGTTAGCAAAAGGCTGGATTCAAGTGGTAGTGGAACTTGCTCCTCAGCACACTGATATGACTTGGGACATCTCAGTCAGCTTCTTAACCCACTGTGCCATGATGCGCACTCCCAGAATCATCCTTTTAAAACAAGAGATAAAATCACACTGTGAACAGTCTATGCCCAGTATTGTGCTTTGTTCCATGTTCCGTTTTGTGGTGATTCTTTTTAATGCAGATAGAATTTATCTTGTCTTAATTTGCTTAGCATGCTTCTGTTTGTTGAGTAGGTAGACTGTTTCCAGGTTTATCAATAATGGGACTGAATTCTTTGAACTTCATTCTTGTCTACGGTTTGAATTATATGCTCAGGCTCTGCATCTGGAGGTGGCCAGATGTTTGTGTGTGTGTGTGTGTGTGTGTGTGTGTGTGTGTGTGTGTGTGTCTGTTTGTGTTTAAAAGATTTATCTGTTTTTGGTAAAGAGGTGAGACCGGGATCTTCCATCTGCTTGTTTACTACCTCAATGGCTGCGACTGGGCCAAACCAAGCCAGGAGCCAGCAAATTCCTCTAGGTCACCCAAATGGGTCAGTGGGTCCAAGCACTTGGACCTTCCTCTGCTGCTCAAGCAGGCACACCAGAAGGGTGTTAGATTGGCAGCAGAGCAGCCAGGATTCAAGCTGGCACCTGTATGGGACGCTGGCACCACCAGTGGAGGCTTAACTTACTATATACCACAATACCAGCCCCATCACCACAAATCTTAGCCACTAGATTAAATATTCACTCATCAAATTTATTATTTCATTTGATTTGTCCCTCAGGATAACCTATAGTGTAGTTAGGACAAATGGACTCTTTCCAAACATCTGAGAACTGAGAAATTATGTGGACTATATAGGGTTTCACGCATCTTAGCAAAAGAAAACCATGCTGCCAGGACAAGCCTGCCCACAGAGCCCACAGTCATCAGTAATACCCATTTCCTGTGGTGATGTAGAAAATATATTTCCTTCTATGATTTGAAAAAAGTTTCTGATATATGTGCCTTCCCCAAAGGAACACAGCTAACACTTGTCATCTGGTTTTGAACATGGCCTAAATTTTCTGCTTCCTTGACCATGAGCCCGGAAGCTCGTTCCTACCAGGAAATATCTTCTGGACACTTCCCAAGAGTCAGCTCTTATCAGTTGGAGAATCTAAACTCTGTTTATGGGCACTTGGTAGGGCAGGTAGGCTGGGTTCTGGGAGCCAGCAGGAACCAACGTTGTAAATGCTGCCTTTCCTGCATTGGGGATGTTTTATTTCAGGTCAGTGCAGCCAGTTGCCAGTTTTTCTCAGTTCTGTGTCCTTTCTGAATGTTTACCTGGGCAGGTAGCTCTTGTCAAACGAGGAAAGCTGATTATTTTGCTGTTTACATGAGATACTGAGTAGTGTGGACTTTTTGCACTGGAGATTTTTAGATTATATAATTTACTTAAGGCTTAAAATGATTTTGTATGGGGTCCAACACGATGGATTGGTGACTAAATCCTCACCTTGCAAATGCTGGGATCCCTTATGGGCATCAGTTTATCTCCCGGCTGTTTCACTTCCCTTCTAGCTCCCTGTTTATGGCCTAGAAAGGCAGTAGAGGATGATTCAAAGCCTTGGGACCCCATTGGAGACCCGGAAGCAGCTCCTGGCTCCTGGCTTTGATCTTGCCTGGCGGTTATTGCAGGTGTTGGACAACAGATGAAAGATTTGTCTATATATCTCTATCCCTCCATTTAGCTCTTCCTCTCCATGGTCGCCCTGCCTTTCAAATAAACAAATATATATATTTTTTAAAGATTTATTTTTATTATTTTTTTTATTGGAAAGGCAGATTTACAGAGAGGAGAGACAGAGAGGAAGATCTTCCGTCCGATGATTCACTCCCCAAGTGAGCGCAACGGCCGATGCTATGCCAATCCGAAGCCAGGAGTCTCTTCTGGGTCTCCCACGCGGGTGCAGGTTCCCAAAGCTTTGGGCCGTCCTCGACTGCTTTCCCAGGCCACAGGCAGGGAGCTGGAAGGGAAGCGGGGCTGCTGGGATTAGAACCAGCGCCCATATGGGATCCCGGGCGTGCAAGGTGAGGACCTTAACCACTTGCGCCACCGCGCCGGGCCCAACAAATATATTTTTAAAAACTTTTTTTTTATTAGAAAGTTGGATTTAAAGAGAGAAAGTTCTGTCTGCTGGTACACTCCCCAGGTGGTCATAATGACCAGAGCTGAGGTGTTCCGAAGCCAGGAGCCAGGAGCATCTTCTGGATCTCCCATGCAGGTATATGGTCCCAATGCTTTGGGCTGTCCTCTGCTGATTTCCCAGGCCACAAGCAGGAAGCTCGATGGGAAGTGGGGCCACTGGAATACAAACTGACACCCATATGGGAGACTGGAACATGCAACATGAGAACCTTAGCCACTATGCTACCATGCTGAGCCCTCCAACACATTTTTTTTAAATCACCACAGCTGTAAGGGTATATAATCTAAGCCTCTGCCTGCAACACCAGCATCTCCTGTTGGTGCAAATTTCAGTGCTGGCTGCTCCATTTCAATCCAGCTCTCTGCTAATGAGCCTGGGAAAGCAACAAAAGGTGGCCAAATGCTTGGGCCCCTGTATCCTTGAGGGCTCCTTGCTTCAGCCTAGCCTGGTCATTGTGTCCATTTAGGGAATAAACCAGCAGGTGTAAAATTGTCTCTTTTCCTCTCTCTGTTAACTCTGCTTTTCAAATAAAGAAAAAAAAAATAAGAAAAAATAATGTGTTAGGTTAGTTTACATTTTTTGAGGATTTTCTGTGTATCACATAATATCTGCAGAGCATCTAAGGGATATCTGTGTACTGGATAGGCTATATACGGAAGTTCACCTTGTCTTTGTTTCATCTTGCACACCTAGTGATGTCTCAGAGTCTCTTCTTGATAAGTGCCTTTATACCAGCCACTCACCTCCTCCTGACATCTTGATCCGGACTTCTGGGGAAGTGCGGCTAAGTGACTTCCTGCTCTGGCAGGTAGGTAATTTCTAACACTGTTCTTGCTTCTCTTGGGTAGACAAATGCAGCTGCACCCACAGGATGGAATGGAGTGTTCTATCTTCACTCCCAGCCATCCTGGAACCAGAGAAACAGGCCGTGAGAGAGGGGAGCTGAAATCTAAAGAAGTCACCTCCAGGCCTTGCCTGGTAACATTTGCTGCCCTTCATCTGTGTCTATTTGTAAACATGTGCGGTTCTTGATGTCTGAAGTGCAGTATGTCCAGCTCAGAGAGAACATCAGGGCTGTCTTGCTGTCAGGAAAGGTTGAGTCCCATGTTCAAGGAACAAGACACCTGTCTTGGGGACCATTCAGGTACCCTAGCACCTCCAAACAAGCTGGCCTTGCAGTCTCCCCTTCAGATGAAGGTCCATGATTGCGCAGCATGGTCCATCCAGGTAGACTGTGTGCAGACTCTTTTCTTAGCCCTCAGCTCATTTCCCTCTGCATAGGCAGTCCCCAATAAGTCCATATGATTCAGTGCACTTTTGCCTGAAAATGACTATTCCTGTTCAAGTTGGCCAGTGGGGAAGTTGTTCAAGAACAGGTTGGGGAGAGAATCAGCTGCTAAGAGCTGACATAATAGGGCCAGAGAGATGCTAATGGACCACGGCCTTAAAAGTGACCTAAGAGTTAGCCACTGGAGATGCTGTCAGTTTGTGACCCCATTAGAGGAAGTATGGTAGGCCCCACAGGGTCCTGGGGCCACTCTGCTGCTCATCACGTCTGCACCAAGCCTTAGAAGGATGCACTGGTAAATAGTGAGTTAATGGGAGGAGCCATCCTAAACACCAAGACTTGGCTGGAGCATAGTGGCCTGGAGAGGTTAACACCTCAGAGGAAATGTTGCAGGAATGAAGTTAAAGAAGGTTCCAGCTGTCTTGAAACTCAGAGTAGGCTGGCAAAGACAAATCTTCATCAGCATTATAACCTGGGGAAGAGATCTAATCCAGTCTTCAAATATTTGAATGACTGTTACTTAGGAGAAGAAATTTGTTCCAGAGAAAATGCCAGAGACCTTGGTGGAAGCTGTGTAAATCATATGACAAGTGATGGTACACCCTGTGAAGCTCTGAGTTCCTCACTCACTTTAAAGCATCCAGCAATGGCTGTCATGAATGTTCTAGAAATTATTCCACTAGTGACTATTCTGAAGCTTCATCCTGTATTGTCTCATTTAAAGTTCGGTATTATTGCCTAGTTTTACCCTTGAAGAAACAGGCCTATAGAGGTTACATGACTTATCCACTCAAACAGAAGTAAGTGGTAGGGCCAGCATTTAAAACAGGCAGTCTGGCTCTAGCACCCCTGTCATTAACTACTGTGCTATATTGGTGATTTAACTGCCTCAGATAAGTTCTTCTCCCATTAATGAACAAATCAGGGTTGGCCCCAAGCAGCAGCTGCAGCTCATAGTGCTGTGTTGTCAAACCTCTGTGTTTCTGGGTCCTACTCGGTCTGTTCCTTCTGGGAGGACTGACCAGTCTTGTGACCCAGCAATGTGTTGCTAAACAATACTTTCTCCCTTACCTTTCCCAGACTTCCCACTCCTGCCTGGTGTTCCAACCTGTTCTGTGGCCAGAATACACATTTTGGAACCTCTGTGAAGCCATCCTACAGTTCCAAATGAACCATAGCATGCTTCAGGTAAGAGTTCAGGGCTGGCCTGACTAAATAAGATGGAAACAAAGATTAGCACTGATTGATGAAGTTAGTGTATACCCATCACTTCCTAAATAAGCATGTTGATGACAATAGTAGCTGCCAGCCACTGGGTACTTGCTAGCCACATTGTGTACACTTTACACACAGGATCTCATTCAGTGCTTTTACGAACCCAAGCAGAATTAAGTGTTATTAGCGACTTCCTACATGAATGAGTAAATAGTAGAGAAATGATTTAGTTAAAGTGTATAACTAGGATAAAGTCAAGTGGGGTCCAAGATGCATATCTTTACTGACTTAAAGACACAAAAAAAGGCTTATCAAAGAGATTGGCCATTATGTCTTGAAGTCATGGGACTAATAAAAGATGCAATGGTGAGACCATGTGAAAGCCAAGCACGTGTTATGGCACAGCAAGTTAAGCTGCCACTTGGAATACCTACATCACGTATCAGTGCCATTTGGAGTCCAGGCTGCTCTGCTTCTGATCCAGCTTCCTGCTGATGCTCATTCAGGGAGTGAAGATAATGATTCCCCTGCTTGGATCCCTGCCACCTAGGAGGGAGTTCGAGGCTCCTGGCTTTTGCCAGGCCCAACCCCAGCTGTTGTTGGCGTCTGGGAGAGTGAACCAGCAAATGGAAGATCACTCTCCTTCAAGTAGATGAACATTAAATATATATTTTACCAAAGCCAAGCTACTTCCAAAAGGGATTAAGAATGAAAAATGTCTTTTCTATTGTGTATACCAACTTGATGTTTTACTTTCATCTTTTTTCTTTATTTATTTGAGAGGCAGAGAGAGAAAGAGAGACAAAACTCCTCAAGTCTTGTAAGAAAACCATCCGTATCTCCCACGTGAGCAGCAAGAACTCAATTATTTGAGCCATCTCTGCTTGCTGCCAGGATATGCGGTCACAGCCACAGACAGGAATCAAACCCAGGCACTCTGATGTGGACCATTGGCGTCTTAATTACCAAGCCAAATACCTGCTCTTGTACTTTGTTGTTTGGTCACCAAATCTTGAGGACAGGTTTCATTACGAGGCAGTCACCCATAGCTGCCTAATAATGGCAGAGGTGAGTCGGGGGTAACACTGAACGTCCACCATGGCACTTGATGTGATAAACAATAGGTTTGGTAGGCTCACTTTTTAGATAGGGAGAAAGAGATGCAAAGGGTCTCAGTCACTGTCTCAAGCAGAACTAGGAAGTAGAATGCTGAATCCAAAGCTGGCATCACTTGGGTCTGTTAATGTGGATGCCCAGGCGGAGACAGGGATGTAAGTCAGGGCTTGTCCGTCTCACTTTATCCACTGAAGGAGGACTGCAGAGCAGGTCGTGTCACATGACCCAAGGTCCCTCTGAGAACTGAAGCCATCTTTACCCTTTTCTGATGGAAAACTTTCTGAGATCTTTCTTACACAGAATTCATCAACACTTAACTATATACCGGACACTTCTGATGGTGATGATTAGAATAATTATATTCCAGTAGTGATATTGGTAACTTTAAGCACCTTTGTACAGTGATATTCTTGTAAGATAGGTCTGTATCAAGATTTCTGGCTTTGGGATTTTTTGTATAGTTTTCTTTGTTCTTTTTTCACTTGCTACTACTGCTGGCAATGGCCAATCTTAACAGTATCCCTCCTCCTTCCTTCTGTATGTGGTATTTTATGTAGTAAAGAAACCAGTTAATTAGGATGTTAGAATTGTGTTTATGGGAGCAGGTGTCATGGCCGTATCCTACACTGCAGTGCCTAGGTGCCTCCTGAGTCAAGATCGTGCTGACCCTGGGAGGCAGCAGTAATGTCTCAAGGCCTTGGATCCCTGTCTCTCTTGTGGGGACCTGGATGGAGTTCATGCCTTCCAGGGTCTCAAAAACAAACAAACAAAAACATGTACAGAGAGTGCCCGATGAGCTTGGTGCCTGTGCTCTTATGTGTGGATATTCTGATCTCTCTGATTTGTCTGTTCAGTTGACTTTATTGTCATTTCAGAATTCCTAATGGTTAGAGGAATTACCTCAGCTTTCTATCACTAAATATTCCTTGAGTTCCTGGAATGAGGACGGCACTGTGTTCGGCACAGGAGAATCAGCTGGCCAGGATCTCTGTCTTCATGGAGCTCGTGTTCTTAGTTAAAGAGACAACAATAAACCAGGAACCAAATGTGTAAGATAATTTGGGATTGTAGTAAGATAGTGAAGAACTCACAGGTGATGTGCTAGAAAGCAGTAAAGTGAGTCAAAGGATGTCAGCTATAAAGCTTGGGTCTTGGAAGAACAGAAAAACAGGACACTGGGTCTGAAGGAGAGGGCATGCTGTGGGCCTGCTGTGAGACTGCAAGGAGAGTCAGACCCAGCCATTCAGGATGTCCTAGGCCAGGGTCACGGGGGAAGGATTGTTTTTTGTTTGTTTGTTTGTTTTTGTTTTAAGATTTATCTATTTCTATTGGAAAGGCAGACATACAGACAGGAAAATCTTTCATCCATTGATTGACTCCCAAAGTGGCCACAATGGCCGGAGCAGAGTTGATCTGAAACCAGGAACCCAGAATGTCTTCCGAGTCTCTAACGCAGGTGCTGGGTTCCAAGGCTTTGGTCTGTTCTCCACTGTCTTCCCAGGCCACAAGCAGGGAGCTGGATGGGAAGCGGGGATTAGAACTGCTGCTCATATGGGATTCTGGCACATTTAAGGTGAGGACTTTAGCCACTAGGCTACCATCCATGATCCAAGGGGAAGGATTTTAATTAAGCAATGACAGGATTTCATTTGAATTCTTCAAAATTCACTCAGAATTTTCAGGGAACAAGAGATCAAACTGCTGCTGCAGCCAGAGCTAAGGAGGATGGGCCTCAAGTTAGGGGTGCAGTGGGGAGAGGGGAGGACTGATGATGAGGACAAAAATGCATGTTACAACAAAAGCAAGTGGAACTATGTCAAGGTGACAGTCCTCCAGTGCAAGCTACCCAAATGCAATTCTCTGACATGCTTAGTGGAGTCTATTCTAAGGGTAACACAAACTGGAAAGCGGATATCACCATTACTTAAGGGGCTTATTGCTAATGGTAAAGTTGGCAATGTGATTTTGAAACTTCCGTTTCTTGTAGGGTAGAGCAAGTAGCTACAAATTTTTGTGTACTCAAAACAAGACATACAGGTTGTGGCCTGGGCAGTTGGGTGGGAGTGGATCGTAACTGAGGACAAATGTTAAGCATCCCATGTTGTGTTCTGATCAACAAACACTGTTGAACTCTGACCACATGCCAGGCATCCCTTACATAGATTGTGTAAAGTGCTATAAGGTAGATATTTTTGTTGCCCCAATTTTTATAGCAAGGAAACCAAAGTTTTGTTGTTTTTGTTTTTTATTGGAAAGGCAGATGTACAAAGAGAAGGAAATATAGAAAGATCTTCCATCTGCTGACTCACTCCCCATATGGCTGCAGTGGCCAGAGCTGAGTTGAGCTGAAGCCAGGAACAAGGAGCTTCTTCCGGGTCTACCACATGGGCACAGGGTCCCACAGCTTTGAGCCACTCTCTACCGCTTTCCCAGGCCACAAGCAGGGAGCTGGATGGGAAGTGGAGTAAGCAGGACACTAACCAGTGCTCATATGGGATCCTAGCACTTGAAAAAAATTAGCCATTGAGCCAATGTGCCTGGCCCAGAAACAAAAGTTTTAATAGAGATCCTGACTGTCCTTAAGCCTTCTCCAGTTGTGCTTCCCAAGTTGGCTTTCTCTACCCAGGATCTTGAAACTGTGCTTAAACATCTTAACGCCTTGGAGAAGCGCAGAGGGGCCAGTGCTGACTAACCACATCCTTCCACATCAGCCTCTGTGAAGTTCCTTGTTCTCTTCCCCTTCCTCTTGCCACCTCCATGTGTGTGCTGTTATCCCATTGCTTCAGCCCAGTGTGACCCTTTCATCTGAAAGAAAGAATGAAGCAGAGAACAGGGAGCCAGGCTGTGACTTAGAACTGGCTGGGGCATGCTAAGTAAAGCTGGGGGTCAGTTACCAGTTTTTAGGGCTGAGTCCTTGGTGTATGAATGGACCACAACAGTGTCCAGGTAGCCACACAACCTGTGTGAAAAGGCTAGCATGTGAGATCTTGCCTGTGGTAAGACAGGTTTTATTTTATTTTTTTATAGATTTTTTTTTTTAATTGGAAAGTCAGATTTGCAGAGAGTACAGACAGAGAGAAAGATCTTCCATCCGTTGGTTCACTCCCCAAGTAGCCTCAATGGCCGGAACTGAGCTGATTCAAAACCAGGAGACCAGAGCTTCTTCTGGGTCTCCGATGTGGGTACCGGATCCCAAGGCTTTGGGCCACCTCGACTGCTTTCCCAGGCCACAAGCAGGGAGCTGGATGGGAAGTAGAGCAGGCACCTATATGGATCCCAGCATGTGCAAGGCAAGGATTTTAGTCACTAGGCTGCCAGCTGACCCACAGACAGTTTTTTTAGTAGGGAGGAAGGACAGATAGGCAATCAGGCCAGGGCAATGGACAGCAGTGCAGAATTTTTGGTCCTCAGCGACAGGTTGCATGGGCAGGGGCTCCTGGGAACTCACAGATGAAGAGGTGTAGAACATGTCTCTATGCGTAAGTTCCCAGGTGATTTCACAAAGCGGGGACCTGTCACAGTCAAGATAGGTCAGCTACTATCTTACCTGACCTTCCTGACTTTGAATCATGTCACTGCTTACTTAGTTGTATGACTAACTGGATCGTTGCTTAAGCCTACATGTTCCTCATCAATACAAAACAATAAGACGGCTGTAGAATTGACAAAAGTACCTGCCTGAAAGGTTTGTGAGAAGGACTGAGTAAGCTAACACAGCCAAACACTGAGAATTTTGCCTAGAACAAAGTTCATTGTCAGAGGATGGTGGTAAAACTGTCCCCTGTATCTGTGTGTCTCTGGGCCTTCACCTGACTTCTCCTACCTTCAGGAGAATCCTGCACAAGCAGCATAGTGGTCACCCAATGCCCAGTACAGGGCCTCAGGCAAGGAAGCTCCAGGGACTTCAGAACACCATGTTTCCTGCAGGAGGCACTCTGCCTGCCTTAGGGCAGCCCTCCACAGTCTCTATGCTGCTGACCTGGGCCTATTGGCTGTGGCTTTGGGAAGGACTACTCATTGGTGAACAGATGTTCTGAATCTCGGTGCCTACAGTATCTCCCAGGGAGCCCCAAGAAGGACCTGATGATTTAAGTACTAGAGGGCCGGTGATTCTGACCAGAGCTGAGACATGAGACCCTGAGGCAGGTGACAGCCACATTGCTCAAAGCGAGCTTCCCGGAGCCCTTGCACCAAGATTGCCCAAGGACTGCACCAAAAGCCACTAAGGAGGGAAGGAATGCCCTCAGTCTCCTCGATTGTGCATTAATTACACAGGGAGAGCAGAGGAGGCACAAGATCAGGAGGAGCGAAGTTGCACTTGGGGACTTCTGTAGCTTGCATGTTCCAAGGTTGACTGCATGAGAAGAACTTAGAGTATCTCTGAGATTGTGAAAGTGAACCCAGGCTCCGTAGCAGGTGGACAAGCATCTAGACTCAAGTCACCCTGCAGGGCACGGTACTTCCGTGGGTGCAGGAGACAGTTTCATCATCCTCTGAAGGGCCTGCCTTCCTGAAGAAGCAAAGGTAGTGTCAGCCAGTTGTGGAGATCGGATAAGTCCCTTCCCATGATGCCCTCAGTGTCCTGTCCTGCAGGATAGGGAGGCTGGGGCATGAGGTTTTAAGGAGCTCTCCCAGCAGTCCTGGACTGACAGTGAGCTGCTCGTTCCCTGTCTGGGCACAGTGTCATAATGCCTTTAGCCAACTCTCTGCCTTTCCTCCCTTGGGCCTTGATATCTAGATGTCCCCATCCTTTTCTTGCCAGAACTTAGCCCTGGCCACACATAGTGGTGGTAGAAGACTAGCAGCAGCTAATGCCTGAGTACTAGGCTGGCATTCATCCTCTCATTTCTTCGACAACACAGAGAGGTGGGAGCTATTATTCCATTTTGCAGATTAAAGATTTATTTATTTGTTACTTATCTGAAAGACAAAGCAACAGAAGGAGGAAAGGAAAGGAGAGAGATCTTACATCCACTGGTTCACTCCTCAAATAGCAGAAATAGCTAAGTCTGGGTCAGGCCAAAGCCAGGAGCTGGAAACTCCCATGTGGTATCTCAAATGGGCGTCAAGGGCCCAAATATGTGGGCCATGTTCTGCTGGCTTCCCAGGCAGATGACCTGGGAGCACAGTGGTGCTCTGATGTCGGGTGTGGGATGCGGACATCACAAGCAACAGCTTAACTTGCTGTGCCACAAGGCCTGCCCCCATTTTGCAGATTAAAGATGCTGGTTTGAGTCCAAGTTGCTCCACTTCCGGTCCCGCTCCTGCTAATGGCTGGGAAAGCACCAGAGGTTGACCCAAGTCCTTGGGCCCCTGAACCTATGTTGGAGACCCAAGGGAAGCTCCTGGTTTCTGGCTTCTACCTTGCTCAGGCCTAGCTGTTGCAGCCATTTGGGAGTAAAGCGGCAGATAGAAGATGTCTATCTCTCCTCTCTGTTAACTCTGCCTTTCAAATAAATAAATATTGATTAAAAAAAATAGCCTGAAAGAAATGAGGGTATATTTTTTTCCTTAAAGATTTATTTATTTTCACTGGAAAGTCAGATATACAGAGAAGAGAAGAGATAAAACTGCTGATTCACTCCCAAGTGTCTGCAATGCCCAGAGCTGAGCCAATCTGAAGCCAGGAGCCAGGAGCTTCTTCTGGGTCTCCATGTGGGTGCAGGGTCCCAAGGCTTTGGACCGTCCTCGACTGCTTTCCCAGGCCAAAAGCAGGGAGTTGGATGGGAAATGGAGCAGCTGGGACATGAACTGGAGCCCATATGGGTTCCTGGAGCATGCACAGCAAGACTTTAGTCACTAGGTTACTGTGCCAGGCCCGAGGGTATCATCTGAAAAGAAAGTTTTCAAATCTCCATATGCCAGGCAAGCTTACACTGACCTGAGCAAGCTCCTCAGTTTTGTGCTCTTGCCTGTTAACTCTCACTGTAAATATACTCTTGCTCCGTGTACCCTGTCTGGTTCCTTCCCACTGGTTGAAGACCAGCTATCCATGAGGTCCTCCTTGACATCAACCAGCCACGGTTGCTATCTCCTCTGAACCTGCCTGACCCTTCCTGTTGTCTCCATTTACTTCCATTCTATCTTGAACCGTGACCTTTGTGTACAAGGCTGTGTAAGCATCTGGATGGCTAAGTGTGGGACGTGGGGTTCTCCATGAGCATGGACAGGAAGAAGCCCTTCCGGCAAGATGGAAGCCCTAGCAGCAACTGCTCAAGCTCCATGTGTTACTCATCCCGGTGGCGACGAGAGGCACCTTTGAATGCCTAGGAGCACTCAGGAGCCTGGAGGGGGCGTTTTCCAGAGTTTTCATTTGCTCTCATGCAGTGAGAGACTTCAGCAAACCACTTCTCTGGGCCTGCACGTCTAGGTGCAGCCAGTAGAAAGTATCTCTCTCATGACTCCATTGTGAAGGTCAAGTGAGACAGCTGACCAACGTCTGTGCACATGTGAGGTGGTCTGGAAAGGAGACCAGAGCAGTCAAAGTGCATACAGGCTCATTAGGGCAGACCTGTACACACAGTGCCACAAGTGGGCTATCTCTGGGAAAACAGTTACTCTGAGGCCATGGCAGGAAGAGGGAGCATTAGTAAGGCCCTGGTTCCATTCCAAAGAGACTGTCCCGTCTCCTGTGCCAGGGACATCATTACTGCACCTCCCCGCAGGACCACTTGGGCCACAGATTGAGACGTTCACATGTACAGGGCCCTTTCCCCCTTTCCCCCGAGTGTCAGAGAGAAAGAGCAGAGTGGGACCAGGGTTTGCCATCCCCACCTGATGTCAGTGCCGGTTCCAGGAGCCCACAGGTTCTATTGTGCTTCCCAACTTCTTTTCTTTGCATTTTTTAAAAAAAGACTTATTTGTTTGAAAGGCAGGCACCATTTGCTGGTTTGCTCATCACATGGCTTCAGTAGCCAAGGCTGGGCCAGACTAAAGCAGGAGCCAAGGACTTGGCCCATTTTCTGCTGCCTTTTCAGGCACTTTAGCAGGAAGCTGGATCAGAGGTGGAGAAGCTGGAACTCCAGCTGGTGCTCATACGGGGTGTTGGTGTTGCAGGTGGTGGCTTTAAACACTATGCCACAGTGCTGGCCCCTGGGATTATTTTTTAACAGAAAAAGGGGACTATGGAGACTAACACCTAGTCTGTTAGGCAGAATAAAGTAAGTGGCTTTAGAGAATGAAACCTGCCTCCCCAGATGTTCCCCGAAGGCTTGTGTGCCACAAGAGTCGGACTGGTCTCCATCCAGAGGCAAATGAACCCAAACCCTGGACAGTAGAGTAGGGAGTGGGGAGCCAGGAGCCCTCAGAGCCTGGGAGACCAGGCGGGTGATGGAGGAACAGTGCCCCAGACAGCAACAGGACCTTGCAGCAGACAGTCGGCAATAACAGCATGTCAGATGGCTGTTGCGGTCTGAGAGCCTGCTAATGCTAGAGAGGATTTTACATATATTATCTCTAATCCTTAAAAATCATCCTTCAAGGTAGGCACAACCCCCACTTTACAAATGAAGAAATGAGGTTAGGAGCAGATTTGGTCAAAGCCACAAAGCTAGTTGGTAGGGGAGTCAGAAGTCACACCCATATTTACCTGGTTCCTTTCCAAATACAAGCCTGATAAGAATTTTAAGGAATAGAGATGCCACCACACAAAACAAATCAAGATGGACTCCTAGCAGCCACTTGCCTGCCTGTCCAACAAGGACACCATCCACTGCATACCTACTCCCCAGCATTCCAAATTGGCTACAGACTCTGCACTGTTCTACTCCACTTGGCCTGTTCTGTACCCCACCCCCACCTTCCCAGTTCCACCCACGCCTAAAAGTCATCTCCCCGCCCCCGGTCTTTCCCTTTTCTCCAGCAGAAGGCCCGAGACATGTACGCAGAAGAGCGGAGGAGGCACCAGCTGGAGAGGGACCAGGCTGCAGTGTCGCAGCAGCTGCTGCGAGAGGGGCTCCAGGCCAGTGGGGATGCCCAGCTCCGACGGACATGCTTGCACAAACTCTCGGCCAGACGGGAAGAGCGAGTCCAAGGCTTCCTGCAGGCCTTGGAACTCAAGCGGGCTGACTGGCTGGCAGGTCTAGGCACTACATCCGCCTGAGTGAGGCTGGCTGCCCGCCACTTTGTCCTGCCCTCTGCCTCCAGGGCCCCACTCCCCTTTCTTTTTTTGGTGAAAGGCACCTCCTTTCTGAGGAAGAAATGTCTTCCTTCTGCCTGGGAGAGGAGCACCCAAGGCCAGCTCAGCTGGCCACAGACTTCTTTGGACTGCCTGCCATCACAGCCCCTGGGAAGGGCTGAAGACAGTCATTCCCCCGAGGCCAGTAAACCGAGCTGTGGTCACCAATAGGCTTGGCAAGCGAGGTGCCCCAAACTCATTGACGGCCTGTCCCTTCCACCTCTGCTATTGCTCCCCGTGCTCCTGGGCACACTCTCTGGCACCAGTACATCCTCCAACAAACAGGATTGAGGGAAGAGAGCACCCTGCCAATCCTAACCCTTAACCCATCCATCTCAGCCTTTCCACCTGATGTGCACAAAAGATTTGGCTTTACCTTGGGTCTGCTGGTAAATAGCTAAGAGGCAGCCAGCGTTATTTGGACAAGGAAGAAAGGGGCAGGAGCGACTGAGAGAAAATTTGCCCATCTGCTGCTCCTCCCCCTTGGCTCTCCACCTGGGATTTGCTATTGAATCTCTACCCCACCCCATGCAGTACTGATTGCTCACTGAAAGGCTCAGCGCCCCCAATGGCGCGCGGAAGCCAGCCGGGTGATTACAATCCAATTACCTATTGTCGACTCAGCCCACACAAGCTTTTCTCCTCCTCTCGCAGGGCACAGGGCCAGGCTCCACTCCCAGTGGGAACAGCCCCCTCCGTGGCTACAGGCTAACAGAAGGGCCTATGGGCCCTGGTGAATCTAACCCAGCACAGGCCTGCTTCTCGGTGGCACATCAGGGCCTAGCAGGACCCCGCGCGGGTTATGTTTCCTGTCCTCGCGGGGTCTAATCTTCAAGCTTTCACTCAGCTCTTTGACCTGGCTCCCTCAGAAGGCCCCATGATGATTTATTCTCAGCATGGCCAAGCTGGTTCCAGGCCCTCTGCTGGTGAAGGCCAAGGCTGCCCAGCAGGAAGAAGGGGGCAGAGTCAAGGGAGGCTGTGTCCTTTCGCTTGCCTCCCCCTGCCAGGCGTTGCTGCGGAGAGGATTAGCGCCCTTGCAAGCCGGCTGCCCCAGGTGCCCCAAGCAGCCTGCAGCCTCCAGCCCGGGATGCCTGCCCCATGCTACTGCACAGTCTGGCCATTTTCCTTTCTGCATGTTGTTCCTCCAGGGGAGAGGCAAAGGCTCCTAAGCCATGTTAGGGTGGACTTTTCAGACCCCTAACTTCCCAAAGCAGATTCCATCCTTCGGTTTCTGTGCCTGGTTACCTGACGCTAGAGGTCCCTTGGTCATTGTCCTGCCTCTTGAAACAAGCATGAATGCAACAGTGCGATTGAAAAGCCAATCAACTCATCCTTTGGCAAGCCCCCTACACACCTGGCACTCCCCAGTACCAATCCCTGGCACTGGATTCCCGGAGAGCAGGTGCTGTACATTTTCCAGCTTTACAATGGGGCTGTTGACAGCCTTAATTAGGGAGGCATGAATTATGTGACTATAATACAGAACCCTACAATTAAGGCAGGAATGAGGGGCTGGATCCCCCCCCCCCAAGCGGGGCTGTCAGGTCCTGTCTCCTTTCTGTGACTGGCTCTCCCCAAAATGACTGGGGACAGTAGAGATGACTGGAACTGTTACCTCTGGCCTGAAGCCCTGTAGGTGGAGAAAGGTACGCAGGGTGGAGTAGGGAGCGACTCCCCCCAAGAGACACTGGGAGAAGGAAGGGAAAGCATTGAGACCACTGCTGTCCAGCATTAGGGGCCGTGGAGTACTGGATTTGCTCCCCATTAGTATGATTTGTGCAAACCAGGTGGGAACTGTATTTCCCCACCTGTAAGCCGATGCCCCTTTCGAGGACATTTATCTTGTGTTCTCTTGGCCCTCTAAATAGAAGTTTTAAGATTCTTAGACGTGAGACTTGTTTTGCTGCCACCATTGCCTGGCCATTCTTGTGCGTTTGGCCAGCTCAGGACCCTGTGTTTGGCTGGGGCAGGGGAGGCAGCCACAGCACCCATCAGAACACCCGTTCCTCTCCTATCTCCTGGCGTTCCCTCGCGCAAGTGAAAGAAAGCCAGCTGGGCAGTAGGAGGGATTTCGCCAGCTGCGTTTGCAGCGCCCAGGCTTGGTGGCCATGTCGTGTGGGGGCAGCTGGGCTCGAGGGCCCTTAGCTGGGTAGAGAGCTTAGGGGGAGGGGACTCTGAGAGGCCTTGGCGGGCCCTGCCATCATTCTTTGGCGGGATCCTGGGGTTCAAGAACACAGAGCCCTAGGGAAATCACCCAACAGGCCTTGGGGGGCCTCATTAGCAACTGGGGAGGCGGCTGAGCAACGGGTGCTGAAAGGACAGCTCCTACCTGCCCCACAGCACCCGGAAGGCACCTCGGTGTGAAAAGGCTCCCCTACGAAGCCCACCCGACGCCGAAAGGATGGCCTCGCAGGTGAAGGAGCACCGAAAGCTTTCCCGGAGTGGCAGCTCGAGAGGACGCACGTCCGGCTGCGCCAGCCTGGCGTCCCCGCTCTCTTCCCACTTCAGCGTCGTCCCCGACCCTGGCCGCTGCAGCCCCGTGCCTCGGGCGGCGCGCTCCCTCCTGCTTCCCGCGGAGTGGGCCGGCGCCGCCGCCAAGCTTTGCAAAGCCCTCTCCAGGGGCCCCCAGAGGGAGCAGGAAGGAAAGCCGCCGAGATGCGCCCCAATGTCGCTCGGCTCCGAGGAGTGCATAATCTCGGTTGCATAAGGTGGAAGGAACTTGGTAGTTTGCACAAGGCAGCTCTTGGCGGGAGCCGGGCCCGCGCCCCCTCCTCCCCGAGCGCCCTCCTCGCGCGCTGCCCCCGCGGCGCCCCCACCCCTGGGCGCGCCGCCGGCCCGCGCGCCCTCTCCCAGCCCCCCCACTCCCTCCAGAGGAGGTGAGTTTAAACCCCGCCCACGTGACCCCAGCTGGGCCAATGAGCGGCGGCGGGAGGTGAAATCCGGTTCTAACCGGTCCGGGGCTCCCAGCGCTATAAAAACTTTATAAACCCCCCGGAGCCCGAGCAGTGTGAAGAAGAGGCGAGGACGACCCCCGGACCGACCCAAGCCCGCGCGCCGCCGCGTCCCAGCGCCCACGTCCCGCCGCCGCCGCCGCCACCACCATGCCCAAGAGAAAGGTACGTGGCGCGAGGGCCCCGGGCGCTGGGCCTCCGCCGCCGCTGCCCACCGCCGCCCCGGGCTCGGGGCGAGGGAGTCGGCGCCGGGCCCAAGCGGACGCCGCCCGGCCGGCCGGCGCGGGGGCCCGAGGCGGCGTGGGCGGCCGCGGCTTCGCCCTGCGCGGCTCGCCTGCCCGCGGGCGCCAGAGGCCATATTGGAGGAGCGGCGGGAGGAGCCATGTTGGCGGCTGTTTATCCCGCTCCCCTCGGGCTCGTCGCGCGCCCGCCCCGTTCTCTCTGCCCCCTCCCCGCCCCCCACCGCCAGGCCGCGTTCCCTCTCCCTCCCCGCGGGCGGGCAATTCAAACCCGAAAGGGCGGGAAGGCGGCGCTCGGGGTTGGCGGGCGGGGGAACGCGCTGCCGCCAAAAAACCGCCGCCGCGAGGGGCGGGGCCGCCCGCAGGCCCCGCCCACGGCCCGCCCCCTCGCGCACGAGGCGCGCGCCGCCGCCCACGGGTGTCCTCGGCCGCGCGCGCCGCTCTCCCGCCTTCGACGGCTGCCATGGCAACGGCCGGCCCCGCCCCCGGAGGGCTTGGCTTGCGCCATCTGCAGCTGTTGCTGCTTCCTGGCGCGCCGGCGGCCCCGGCGCCGGGCACGACCTGGGGAAGTTGCATGTGTGCCCGCCTCGGGAGTGGCTCAAAGATGCTTTTTGTTTGTTTGTTTCACTTTTTTTTTCTGTAGGCCGAAGGGGATGCTAAAGGAGATAAGGCCAAGGTGAAGGACGAAGTAAGTTTTAACTCTTCCAGGCGCTATCCAAAACCACGGGCTGGGAAAAACCAAGGGTGAAAACCTACCTACCCCTAGATCCAAGTTATATAAAACTCACTTCCCCTTCTCCAACCTAGAGCAGGTTTGTGCCAGCGTATCTATTCTGAGTCATGTACCTGTCCTGTTTTCTCTCCCACCCCCAATAGCCACAGAGAAGATCGGCCAGGTTGTCTGCTGTAAGTGTGTGCCCCTTGCGTTCCCTGGCCCCGGGCAGCCCCACAGAGCAGCTGCTGGGTGGCCCGAGGGTGGGTGTTACTGGCTGGTTCTGGAAGATCTACCCTGGGCTCTGGCCCATGTGAACTTGACTGCTGCAGAAATGCTGATGGCGGTGGCTGCAGGGAGGGCCATGTTGAGGTACTTGGGTTCCTGAGCGGCAGTCTCAGAAGTCGGCAGAACTTCTCTACTTGGGTGATGGGGTGTGGCTGTGGGTCAGGTACTTTGATTTGCCCGTTGTATTAACATTCTCTTCCTCTTTCCATGTTTAAAAAAGAAACCAGCTCCTCCAAAGCCAGAACCCAAGCCTAAAAAGGCTCCTGCAAAAGTAAGTGGGGCTGGGAGACTGGGGCTCGTGTGGGGCTGGGAATCCCAGGACGGTGGCTGTCCTTGGTGGTGGCCTTGTGAAGGGACGTTAGGAGTTCCCTGCTCACCTGTCCTTGGTTTCCCAGTAAGGAGCTTGCACCACAGGAAGTTCTGCTTTTGAATATAAAATGCCGCTTGTGTATGCTGGAGACCACAACAATCATGGGCAGTTTGTCCGAGGGTGGTTGGCTTTAGGATTTATTTATTTAGAAGGCAGAGCAACAGAGATAAGCTCTTCATCCACTGTATGACTCCCCACATGGCTGCAACAGGCGGTGGCTTGATGTGCTGCACCGCAAGGCAAGTCCCTTAGCCTGGTTTGGCTCAGTTCGCCTCTTTTAAATGGAGAAAGATTTGTGTCTGCTTTGTTTCCAGTAAACATTACTGCCTTGTGCAGAGCTTTTAGACTGTGTTCTGGTACAATAAAATGAAAAACATTTTTCTTTCCTTCCTTTAGAAGGGAGAGAAGGTACCCAAAGGGAAAAAGGGAAAAGCTGATGCTGGCAAGGACGGGAATAACCCTGCAGAAAATGGAGATGCCAAAACAGACCAGGTACACTTGAGGCTGGAGTTCTGTCACGTGTGTTCCCCAAAATGGTTCTGTGTTTTGCTGCTGAGCTTACTGTGATTTCCTGTTAAATCCTGGATTCTTGGTCTCCATCATCCACTAAAGGACACTGTATTCTGTCCAGAGGGAACATGAACTTGGTGGTGTTGCCTGCTCCCATTTGGCAAGCTTGTGGGAGGGTAGTAAATTAGCAGTTAAGCTAGTAAGCTATTCCCAAAGGAAGTGCTGACCTGAGACTTGGTGTCTAGTTCTGGGAGCTAAGTGGTGCTGTAGGTGGCATGTGAAGTTGTTTTAAAATGTACACATTGCATTACTTTGTTTTCCCTTCTAGGCACAGAAAACCGAAGGTGCTGGAGATGCCAAGTGAAGTGTGTGCATTTTTGATAACTGTGTACTTCTGGTGACTGTACAGTTTGAAATACTATTTTTTATCAAGTTTTATAAAAATGCAGAATTTTGTTTTACTTTTTTTTTTAAGCTATGTTGTTAGCACACAGAACACTTCATTGTTGTTTGGGGGGAAGGGGCATAGGTCACTAATGGAAGGTGCCTGAAGCTGGGTTGGTGTGGGGGGAAAACACCCTCCCCTTGTACTTTGGAACGGCTTCCTCCTGGCTTGCAGGGGGGATTCCCTGTCTTTGGCATACAGCCACCAGGGCACACAACCTGTGGCATGGAAAATCTAAATTGGGTTTTATGTCTTCTTCCTCCTCCCTGTCTGCCTTCAGCATAGACTTAACTCCCTTACACCCAGAGACCTGTTGGGACCTGACCCCCAAAATTTGTTACCAGCATGAGAGGCAATCTGGACTTGAAGGAGACCCCACTGAGCTGGTGTCCCTCAAGCGCAACGGTTCCTTTTCTAGATTGTGGATCTTCAGATTGAGCATAATGCCATTTTCATTTCCTGAAAGTCAGGGTCGGCTAGTGATAAGTTGTTAAACAACATGCTAAATGTGAAATGTCAACCCTCACTCTAAACTTCCCCTTTTCAGAGCATCAAATGAAGATTTCATTGGGTTTTATAGTGGCTTTCTGATTTTGGTAGTCCATTGAGGAGGGAGTTGAAAGTGGTTGTATACTGTTCACGACTGTCTGCCCGTGTCCTGCCTGAAATACCATGATTGTTTATGAAAAGAATCTTTAATAAAGCTGGATACAGTTTGGCTTGGATTAGTTCCTCTGCTCTTTTTCCACAAAGAGAACCTGCTTCTCTGCCTCTGGGGACAGGTGAACACACCTTCCCCAACCCGTGGTCCTGACTTGCATAGCGATAGATGGGGGGGACTAGAAGTGCTGCAAGGATAAGCTGGGAGCAGTGGTTCCTTTCCTGGGCTAAAGTCCTGGAGGTGTGCCTCAGGTGCAGCTTTTTTCCACAGCCTGTTGTGGGTAGCTGATGGGGGAGGCTCTGCTTTACCCACTGGTAACACCTGAGGCTAGGAGGAAGTGCCCCGTCTTCCCAGGCCTTCTGGAATAAGGGTTTTCATGTATTAGGCTCCTGAAGTCCCAAGACAATTGTATGCTACAGGTGCTAGACCCATAGGGTGGATGAGGAAACAGGTAAAGGCATTTGAGGTTTTGGCTCTAATGAACAAAGGATTCAGACCCCTAGTTTACTAGTTTCCAGTTGCTTCCTTGGCACTTGGGCTGGTTTGGGGGGACTTAGGAAGGCTGCAGTTGAGGTTTTTGATCAGTACTGTTGAGCCATAGACTTCAGCTTGTTTTGGGGTCCTCTGACGTGGTATTGCATTCATATGGTAGCTGAGAGGATTGGAGTTGTGACTGGTTAGGATGGAATGTCATACAAACACGTG